ACAGTGCGATTGAAACTTCGTGGCCCATGCACAGAAGTCGGTATTTTGTGGAAGAGCCACACTCAAGGGGCCAAAGAGTCGCATGTGGCTTGCAAGCCTCAGTTTGCCGACCACTGCTTTAGAGAGAACACAACATTAATACAAATATTTAAAAGATACAAAACCATACACATATCAAAGGCCAGTTCGTTCTAGGGAATAATTGAATGGTAGTGTTCAAAAGACAGTAGACAGGGAGGTATTAGCACCCCTTAAATTATTCCAAGTGGAGTTTTGAAAGTTATTTGTTTGAATGATGGGCTAGTGAAGGAAATTATGAAAAAAACAACATGTCAGGCATGGGAGTCATGGGAGAAGGCTCACAGGTATAAAAAAAAGTGGTAATATAATAGGAGGTGCTGACACTCAGGAGGGAGATTTTAGATTTCATCCAAGTGAAATAGGAGGGGCCTTTAGGAGGAGAATCACATGATCAAAAGGAAGACAATTTCTTCTTAAAGGAATCACTTTTAAGAGCTCACCTGACAAGGGGATACTAAATTTTTTAGAAGGGATATAAAGAATTTCTATTCTATTAACAAAAAGAGATTTGGCACTCAGTGTACATTAATATGAATATATAATATACAAACAACACAATGTTCTCACCTTCCAGGGAGTGGAGCTTTATTGTCCTCCCTTGATAAAAACTCAAGAGTGACTTGTATGCATATATGCATAATCCAGGGACACAGACAATAGACTGGGGCACAGGGAGGCAGGGGCAGGCTAGAAGAGTCAATGAGGGGAAAAGGGATATATGTAATACTTTCAACAGTAAAGATTTTTTTAAAAGCATACAGACAGATAATGGGAAAAAAACCCTCAAGAGTGGACTTAACCTGGACAGGAGTCTGGGGAAGAGGCAGCTACTTCAAGCCAATGGTCTTAAAACTGTCACCTTCACAGAGACCCACTAGTGTTTGTACAGCATGAAACTTCTTGATGATGATCTCAGAGGAAAATATGCACTGGGTCAAATCAAAATTATTCCTAGGGAAAAAAATATAGTAAGAGGAAAAATGAATAATATAGGCATCACACAAAAAAGCAAGGGCTCACAGTTGTTCATGACATGATAGCAGCTAGTTCAGACAAGTAAACAATTGAAACTAATAATAGCTAACATTATGAATGCTTACTATGTGGCAGATGCTGTGCAAAGCATGTGTTCTTTATCATTTAATCACCATCCCACCAGCCTCATGAGGTTATTATGCTCATTACTAGTGGCCCGTTGCACGAAGATTCGCACAATAGGCCTTCCTTCCCCTGGCTGCTGGCACTGGTTTTCCTCCAGCACCTGGGACCCAGGCCTTTGGTCCAGCCGCAGCAGCGAGGCTTAGCTTCTCCGATCCAGCCGCTCCCAGCCCCTCCTTTTTTTTCCGGCTCCTCGAGTGGAGCCCGGGGCGGGCTGGAAGCCTGGGTTGCCCCCGTGACCCAGGCCCCCAGCCCCTCCTTGAGCAGAGTACAGGGCCAGTGGGAAGCTTAGCTTCCTCCATAACTGGGAGCAACCCAAGCCTCCTGCTCGCTCCAGCTCCATGGCCACCATCATCTTCAGTCGTCTTCAGTCTTCGCTCTGTGCCTGCGTATACAAATTAATCGCCATCTTTGTTGGGTTAATTTGCATAGTTGCTCTGATTGACTGGTGTGTGTAGCGGAGTGGCAGAGTAATGGAGTGATGGTTAATTTGCATGTTTCTCTTTTATTAGTGTAGATAATTGAAAAAATTGAGGTTCACAGAAACACAGCTAGAGAGTGACAGAGCTAGCACTGAAACCCACAGTACCTGACTCTTAGTTTGTGCTCTTAAATTGCCACCAAATGTATAATAAACTATCATTCAGGAGAGAATCAGATTATGATTCTTCCAGTTTTCTCCTTCTTTGCACCTGTTAACCACTTCCTACACACCCCGCTAAATGGGTTTAATTGGTGCTACTATAATCTACTAGATCTTTCATATTCTGGAAGACATTTTGATTTACTGAAAGGAACCAGGATTCTTTGGAGAAATGGCTGATTCTGAGATGGCTGTGCCAGGGAATATGCAAAATGAGCATCCCATGGTGCTAGAAAGAAAGTACTCAAAAATGAAAACAATGGGGACATGCCAAAGGGGCATAGGAACCTAAGTGAAATGGCTTCCAAAGGACAAAACCGTAACAATTTGAGAAACCAAATCATTCCTCCTTTTAGAAGAATGCTAAATAACTTGTGTAGATTCTCACCTTCTAGGAAATAGAGCTTTATCTTCAACTCTTCTTCAGTGTGGGCTGGACTTAGTGACTTCCTTCTAAAAAATATAAAAAATATAGTATAGACAGTAGGGAATGTGACTTTACCTGACAAATAGTACTGTGGCCAACTGATCAAGGCCTTCATATGATACTACAGGCCTAGTGCACGAAATCTGTGCACGGTGGGGGGGAGGTGCGTCAGCCCAGCCTGCACCCTCTCACAATCCAGGACCCTTTGGGGGATGTCCGACTGGGATCAGGCCTAATCCAGCAATCGGACATCCCTCTCGCAATCCAGGACCACTGGCTCCTAACCACTTGCCTGCCTGCCTGATCACCCCTAACCACTTGCCTGCCTGATCAACCCTAACCACTTTGCCTGCCTGCCTGATTGCCCCTAACCACCTCTGCTTGCCTGCCTACCTGCTTGCTCCTAACTGCTTGCCTGC